GACCACACAGCATTTTCTAGAAAACTCCCACAAGTTGTTTTTAATCAACTGACAGACAAAATCGAAATATGCCTGTCCATGACCCGCAGAGCGTTCTAAGAGGCAGATATCGGCAGGTTTGATTTATGGGATTCTTTCCATCTTGAATGGGTAAACTGAGTCACGTAAGCACAGATCACGGGACAGTATTCTATTCTTGTTCCTCTCAAAGAGGGGCTCCAAAGACTTAAAAGGATGAGCAACGGCCCCCCAATAAACTCTGAAAATGTGGACCTGTGAACGAGGTGTATTCACAGTTTGTGCCTGACGTGGGGGCAAAGCCAGCACGAGGGTGTGGTCTTATTTCACGTCGCCTTTGGTGTTTACGGCAACACAGAGTTTGATTTTTTTTTAAGTTGATTTATTTATTTTGAGAGAGACAGAGCACGAGCAGGGGAGGGGCAGAGAGATAGGCAGACAGAGGGAGAGAGAGAATGAGAACCCCGAGCAGGCTCCACACTGTCAGCACGGAGCCCGATGTGGGGCTCGAACCCACAAACCCGTGACATCATGACCTGAGCCCAAACCACGAGCCGGACACTTAACCAATTGAACCACCCAGGCGGCCCCCTGCCCCTGCACCCACCAGTTTGAGTTTTAAGTTTAATCTGCCACTTGGTTAACGCAGGAGCCTGGCCAGGGCACAGAGCCACCGTTCCCACTGGCCGGTCCTCCCTGCCTCCGGCTCTTCCATTCCCGATGCCTGGCTCTCACAAGGGCTCTAGTGCTGTCTGCACACCTAGGGGGATGGCGAGGTAGTTGCTGCGGGACTCACCAAGGCCACAGGACCAGGGCGGACAGAGCTGGGATGTTAACCCCAGGAGGCAGCTGCATGGCCCGTGGTCTGGCCTCTACATCATGTACCCGGGAAGGCTGCCTTGGCTGTTCCCATTTTGCAGAGGAGGAAACTGAGGACCAGAGAGTGAGTGGAGGGGGTGCCCACGCAGGCACTTGTGTCCGCGGCCCCACGCGTCATCTGAGATCTGCGCTGATCCACAGCCCAGAGGGGGGCACATGTGTGCAAGAGACAAGAGACCACCCTCCTTGGGGATAGATACTCAGACCTGGCATACAAAGGGGGCTCTGACCCCCAGGTAGGCGCAGCAAGCAAGAACTCTGCCCTTGATCGGGGCCAAGGACAAGGCGTGAGGTCGTCTCAGCACACAGCAGAGTGGAGTGATGACCCTGGGGAATCTCAAAGGTAAAACGGGAAGAAAAATCCTACCTGGGACAGGCAATCCCTCTGTCCTTCACACAAACACACCCTGGGTCCCGGCAAGAAGAAGCAAGAACTATTTATTTATCTTAACATCCAACGTTAGGCCTCAGCTAACGCTATGGCAAACTGTGCCCAGACGTTATTGCAGAGCACAGATCCATTCATCTCCAGGGAAACTCTTCTGCGGGAAGAGCTCTCCAGACCCGTTCGAGATATTTACACCGATCGGGGCAGCGGAGTTTCTGCGGCACGGTGGTTCTCAAAGTGGGGTTTGCCTGGGAACTTGCTGGGACACAAATTCCCAGGCCCTGCCCCAGACCTACTGAATCAGAAACCCTCAGGGTGGAGCCAAGCAAAATGTGTTCTAACAAGCCCTTTGGGGGTGATTCTGATGCTCGCTTAAGTTCAAAAACTACTGACTCAGCGTATGGTGCCCTCACATATATATCATTCCTGTCTGAATGTTCCACTTAATTAGAACTACATTCGAGGTACCGGGAAGAGGGATGAAAGTCTGGCACAGAGATTCGGTCTCCTCTGGAAAGATAACACGTCTCTCGACCCGTCTTGCCAATTTCTCTGCTAACAGGCTTGCTCAAGGACACCATTAATTTCTTCCACTGGCTCTACCTACCCCCTCCGGGAAAGTCTCTCCGGAAAGTATTTTAGAAAAAACAAATACTGGCGATCGCGTGGTGAGTATAAAAACAGGTAACAAACACTGATACAAAGATAGCATTTGGGGGACAATGCGTCCCCTGAACCGACACTCGTCTGACATGATTCCCCTTCTACGACCTGAATAAGGGAACCCTGAATTTTTCGGACCAGATGATAAGAGAAAAAGATAAAATATTTTCTTCTAAAATAAGAAAATGTAGGCATTCCCCTTTCCCCAAACTAGTCATGTCCTTGAAAATAAGCCTTTCCTTTCCATTCAGGACATCGGTGTTAGGAACAACTAAGGTTTTCCAAACAAACATCTTATCTTTATCTGGAAGGAAGTTGGTGAAAAAGGAACTGACGTTCTTACCCGACAACGATGACAATACACTTTTGGGTTCCTTTCCCAGAAATTAGTAAATAACAAAATACCTTTCATTTAAAAAGGAAAAATATGGTCCCAGCAAATACTTAAATCTAATCCATATGCCACTCATATGCTTAAAAAAGGAGAGCATTTCTGTGAGCCAATTTCTGCGCTCATTCTGTGCCAAATAAAACAGATTTTAGTAAGAAGCTTTTACTGCCTCAGAGGGAACTCTGTCCATTTTTCAGGGTATAGAGAACTATTTATTTTTCACTCAGAATTCCCGATTCTCTATTTACGATGCATTTTTCCACTCGGGCAGACTTTATCCACTCTGGAGAAGCATGTTAAAAGCTGAGAACGCCTCTTCTCCGGACGGAAGGAACTTTTAAGATGCTGATCGGGTTCAGCATCAACCTTCGAGAACGCCAGGAAACGCAATTCTCATTGCAAACAGCCCTCAAGTAATAACGATGCTGGAACTTGTGGTTTTCGGTGCTAACATCCCTCCCAATCAGAAGCAAACTGATGTCCCCAGAGGGAGGGGCTGAAAAGTACTAAATGCTAGAAGTATGGTCTGTGGGTTATGAAAAAGTTCAGATCCTAAACCCCAGAAAAGGTTTACATTTCACCACACAAGCACAGGAAGAAACTTTGGGTTCAATTTGCACATTTAGTCCCGCAAGTGTACGACCAAATGGGGTGCATTTGTACCTAACGCTCTTGGTAACAAAAGACAGCTAAAACATCCCGGAGAACTCAGAAGAGCTTAGGAGCATTAGAAAATGCTAGGGGCGCCTGGATGACTCTGTCGGTTCAGTGTCCGACCTCGGCTCAGGTCACGATCTCGTGGTTCGCGGGTTCAAGCCCTGCGTCGGGCTCTGTGCTGATGGCTTGGAGCCTGGAGCCTGCTTCGGATCCTGTGTCTCCCTCCCTCTCTGCTCCTCACCCGCTCACTCCCTGTCTCTCTTGCTCTCTCAAAATAAACATGAAAAAGAAAAAAAGAAAATGCTTAAGAAACACAAACAATCAAAATATTTTCTTCTAAAACGTGTTGTGTCAGGGTTTTCCCACAGATTGCTAAGGCATGGATGGAAAGGTCTGTCGATGGGAATGGGGTGGTCTCTGAGACCTGGGGATGAAGTTCACACCTGTGAGGACGGAGGACGATTTATTTAGATTTATGAAGACTGATGGACAGACAACCAGGCAAGAAGGAATCTGAGAAGACTACTGCTCCAGAGAGCCACTTAGGCAACTTCTAACCAGGACCCCAGGCCGACCGTCCCATCTGGGAGGTACAGACTTAGATTCTAGTTTATTTTAAGGAAAAGCCATCTTATGAATAAGCAAAAAAATAAAAAAATAAAAAAGGGTTCAAACCCAGAGTAGCAGCAGTGTGAAGTTTTCCGCCTCCACGAAGCACGGACAGGCCGGGGACGCTAAGGCAGAAGGAAAGAGTCAGGAAATGAAGCCCCTGTGAGAGAATTAACGTGTGTTCTGTAAAGTCCCTGTTTGCAGCGTGGTGTCCCCGTCCCCCAGGGAGCTGGGGTGCCAGCCACTGGGAACCTTCCCCGCTTGGTGAGCACTAATGCATCCTTACTGTGGCCCGGCGTCTTGGAATGCATGTAGAGCAGGCCCAGCTGTGGGCGCGGCCGGTCAGCCTTGGAGAACACAGCTTCTAGGAGATTCCAAAGTCCGGTCCCATCCCGGCCACACCGTGTGCTGTCCCTGCTGCCCCCCACCTGAATGAGGACGGATGCATTTAGAAGATGAAACCTGTGCATCAGTTTCGCCGTGCATCATCCCGAGCTTCGAGAACAGGAGCTGCTCGGTCAAGGAGCGTCCCGGCCCCTGAGAACGGAGGGCCTGGGATTTCCAATCGCGCTTCACGCCGCGGCAGACTCGCGGGAGGACAGAAGCCCAGTGCAGACCCCAGCTGCTAAGGACAAAGGCTCTTTCTGGTCCACACGTAGTGACAACCCCTTGCAAAGGCATGACGCTGCTCTGATGATAAACTTCGCACCCGTGGCTTCCTACGTACACGGTCTCTGCAAACGTCCCATCACGTGGAAAGCGACTTAGTGTGAAAGGCCCTCCCTCCTCTCCTGCGCATCTGAATTACTTGGGGCATCTATATTTTACGACCTACCAGCCCTGTCCCGTACAAACTCCAGATTTCTTTCAGTGCTCCGAACCACGCTATTTTCTCACTTAGCGATCATGACGACGCCCAAACTTTTAACGCTGCAGACACAATAAATGCAAATAACAAGCACAGGCCTTGAACGCCTGAGAGCACAGGAGGTGTCCTACCTTCCACACGTGAAGGAGCGTGGCATCTCATCTTCTACTTTTTTAAAATGTTTGAGAGAGAGAGAGAGTGAGCATGAGCAGGGTAGGGACAGAGAGAGAGGGAGAGAGAGACTCTCAAGCAGGTTCCCCACTCAGCTCAGAGCCCGACGTGGGGCTCGATCTCACACACTGTGAGATCATGACCTGAGCGGAAATCAAGAGTCAGACACCCAACCGACTGAGTCACCCAGGCGCCCCTCACTTTTACTTCTAAATAAAGCTTAAAGATTCGACCGAAACACTCTCCCCGCTAAAGCCACAAATTTGCAGAAGGTAGGGCACACAGGGAACTTCAGAGAAGTCGCCGGCCGGTCCTTTTAGCGGATCCACCACTCCCCGGAGCCGCCCTCCGCCTACCTTTTCCGAGGCCTTGTCCTGCACTGGTGGCCCCAGGCCGGGCAGCGTCGGGGGCGGAGGGGCCCGACGCTTCTTCATGTCCGACTTCACAGACACCCCTGAGATGTTGCCAAGTGACAGGGATGGACCCAACGTCATGGAACGCGGATTCACCGCCGGGGAGTTGGGCGTGGTCAGGCAGCCCTGCGGGGAAGGGGACAAAGAGAAACTCTCATCGGTGCGAGGTCACTTCTCAGTGTAGGAGTGCTCCGACCTGAAAACCAAGTGCCACACCGCCCATCCGAGCCTGTAGTATCACGTCCACTGCTGGGCTTGAATGGCCTGAGCAAAACACTCACTTTCAGTCGAAAGCCCGTATATTCCCTGTGGTGGGAGACACTCCATTGACACATTCCTGCTGCAAAGGTTTCTTTTCTTTTTTCTTTTTGATGTTTATTTAGTTTTGAGAGAGAGAAAGAGAGAGAGACAGCACGAGCAGGGGAGGGGCAGAGAGAGGGAGACACAGAATCCGAACCAGGCTCCAGGCCCTGAGCTGTCAGCACAGAGCCCGACGCAGGGCTCGAACCCACAAACTGCGAGATCATGACCCGAACCGAAGTTGGACGCTCAAGCGACTGAGCCACCCAGGCGCCCCACAAAGGTTTGTTTTCTTAATCACAAAGGAAACGACAGACTTCTGAAACCCCTAAGAACCCTTACCAGCTGGACTCGTTTAACACTCCTGACCAGACCGCAGTGTGAATCAGCCTCCTTTGAAACGGAACCTGTCTTCGGAACGAGCTTGTAGGTGCTGAACAGAGGAAGGCACAGGCCAGAAGTACATATCTCCTGGAGGAATCTCTCTGTAGCTCTGAACCGCACTGAGCCCCCTCTCCGGCCCTCCGGTGGGTCATGTCTGCTCACATGACCTCTCTCGCAGCCAGTTCCAGGGCCCTTGGAGACCTCAGGGAGGCTGGGACAGGGGAAGGCTCACTTTGGCCCCCCATGAATCTGTCAGGGATGCCACAATCTTAAATTTTTTTTCTTTTTTGTTTTTTCAAGGTTTATTTATTTTTGGGACAGAGAGAGACAGAGCATGAACGGGGGAGGGGCAGAGAGAGAGGGAGACACAGAATCGGAAACAGGCTCCAGGCTCTGAGCCATCAGCCCAGAGCCCGACACGGGTCTCGAACTCCTGGACTGCGAGATCGTGACCTGGCTGAAGTCGGACGCTTAACCGACTGCGCCACCCAGGCGCCCCAAGGGATGCCACAATCTTTCCCCTTCCTGATGCTCAGCTGGGGCTGCAAGGTCTCATTAAAGGGTAGCTGCCGATTAGGTGCGTGCAAGCGCCCTGATCTCACAACGGCGCCCCTACTCTGTGCGTCCCTCGCTCTATAAAAGCTGTGGCGTAAGGTCTGGATTTTGCAGAGAGTAACTATGCAGCAGCTGTGGATTGGCCTCCACCTGATCTCCTACCAGGAAGGTCCCCTGAATAACACTGTGTAGAGGAGTGCCTGGGGGACTCAGTCAGTTAAGCGTCCGACTCTTGATTTCGGCTCAGCTCATGATCTCACGGGTCCTGAGTTCGAGCCCCACCTGGGACTCTGTGCTGACAGTGCAGAACCTGTTTGGGATTCTCTCTCTCCCCCTGCCTCTCTCTGCCCCTCCCGTGCACGCATGCTCTCTTTCTCAAAAGAAATGAATAAACTTTTTAAAAAAGGTTAAATATTAAAAACAAAACACAAACCTCTGCGTAAGCTGTATGGAGACACCTGCTTTGTTTCCCGGTGTCAAAGCACCTTCTCCATTTGGGGGTCACTTTACTGTCCCCCTCCCCCACTTTCTAACAGGGTCTCTGCCATCGTGAGAAGTATGTCACCGGCTGCCAAGAAGGGGCTTAGGTTTCTTCGAACCCTTCACAGGTCACCACCAAAAGGCCGTGTGAGATAAATGGTCACAGAGGCTGTGACCAGGGAACGCAGTACTCCGTGGCAGAGATCTACACCGAAAATAAACGCAAGCCACAATGCTACTTAGGAGCTTTCACAAAGCAGCCCTGCCTGCTGGGTGTATATGGGGGGACTGGCAGGCTAAAGGGCACAGACTTTTTTTTTAATGCTTATTTATCTTTTGGGGGGCAGGGAAGAGAAAGAGGGAGACACAGAATCGGAAGCAGGCTCCAGGCACTGAGCTGTCACCATAGAGCCCGAAGTGGGGCTCGAACCCACAGATCATGAGATCATGACCTGAGCCGGAGTCAGACGCTTCATCGACTGAGTCACCCACGTGCCCCGACACATAGGTGTTTTAAATCCTTACCCCTCCTAGGGTCTGCTTAACCTGATCACGTAAGCGTTAGTGCAGGCAGAGACTTAGAGAACCAACACTCTGATTTCAAATGTGTAACAAGATAGAAGCCAAGCTCTCCCCTGGCACCTCTCCCCGCTCCCCCCGGCCAACACTCCCCCCCCAGAACCGGTGCCCGGGGTGTACTGCACACCAGGGGCTGTGCAGCGGGGAGGTCAGCCCACACGCTGTCCGGGTTCGAGTCCTGCTTCTGCCGCGTGAGCTTGGACGTGCCTCTGGAGTCTTCTCTGCCTCAGTTTACCTCCTGTAAAACTGGGTCCCAGTAGTTTTGTTCTACTTATTTACTTATCGTCGCTCCCGTTACAATGTGGAACCCATGGGGGCAGCGATTGTTGCCCGTTTCCCCAGCTCCTGACAGCTCCTTGGTGCGCGGAAGGCCCCGGAGCCAGTGTTTGTGGGAACGAATGAATGGATGGCTGAGAGCCTCTGGACAACTCTGCTCTCAGGTTTTATAAAAGGAGCTGGTGGGGGACGACTGGGTGGCTCCGTTGGTTGAGGGTCAGACTCTTGATTTCGGCTCAGGTCGTGATCCCAGGGTCCTGGGATGGAGCCCCGTGTCGGGCCGGGTGCTGAGCCTGGAGACTCTCTCTCTTCCTCTCTGCCCTCTCCCCTGTTTGCACACACTCTCCCTCTCTAAAAACATAAAGAATAAATAAAAGGAGCTTGTGGGGGAGCTTTTATCTGAATGACAGGATCTCTGTATTTAAAATAAGTATTTAGCAGGGCGCCTGGCTGGCTAGTCAGTAGAACATATGACTCTTGATCTCAGGGTCGTGAGTTCAAGCCCCACGTTGGGCGGAGAGCTTACTTAAAACAGAGTTAAGTAAAATAAATATGTAAAGGAAACCCACTGGGCAAAAGCCCAGTATTATCCGCACTCGGACTCAAATCCTATTCTGTTCTGCCAAGTTTACTATCATTCCCTTCCTTGAGAAAATTTTTGAGACTCAGATTTTCTTGTCCATAAACTTTTTTTTTTTTTTAATTTTTAAAAAGTATTTATTTTTGAGAGAGCAAGCGCAAGCGAGGGAGGGCCAAGAGAAAGGCAGGCAGAGGATCCGAAGCGGGCTCCATGCGGACAGCAGTGAGCCTGATGGGGGGCTCCCACGAACCGCAAGATCACGACCTGAGCCAAAGCCAGCCGCTCGACCAACCGAGCCACCCAGGCGCCCCTCTTGTCCATGGCTGGCTCTCTCTGATACCCCCAGGGCAAGGGAAGTGCAAGCACGTGTCCTGGAGGTTTGTTAAAGCTTGTGAAAAACTATCTGCCAGCTATCTACCCGTGGTGACCTCTGAAGCACGCACGGCCCCGTCTGGCATCCCGCAAGCGTGACATTCGGGACCAGGCGTTTCACAACGCTGCTGCTATAACCGCTTCTGTTCACTCCACCCTGTCTAGACTCAGGACTTCTAATTCCTCCTGTCCTCAGCCCTCGCCACAACTATGTGTGCCTGACTGATCACTCAACACGGCTGTGAATTCACCTCTGACCTTTAGATGCATTTTTTGGGGAAGCTCTGTGCAGAATACGCCCCGAAAAGTACTTTACAGGTCACCCGTTGCATGTGGATTTCAGGTTTTAATCCCATAATCCTATTGCCCCTGTAGCACTCTGACATCTCGGGGAGGAACCCAACACAGTTCTCCCGACACACAGCCCAACGCACACACACAGGCAGGAATGCTCTTGTCTTCTCATCTTTAAAAGAGGGAAATTCTGGGGCACCTAGATGGCTCAGTCGGTTAAGTGCCCAACTCTTGGTTTCAGCTCAGGTCATGATCTCGCTGATGGTGCTTGGGATTCTCTCTCCCTCTCTCTCTGGCCCTCGCCCCTTGTTCTCTCTCTCTCAAAATAAATAAATAAACGTAAAATTTTATTTTACATTCCATGGACTTCAAATTGCTGTTAAGATCTAGCCTATTTCTGTCACATTACAGTTGGTTTCCTTCTCCTCCAGTGAGCATTTTTGGTAAGCATGACCTTGTGAGAGCCAAGTAAGATGGCCTTAGCAGAAACCCAGAAGCCCATGGGGCTCCTGGGTGGCTCCATCAGTTAAGTGCCCGACTTCGGCTCAGGTCATGACCTCACGGTTCGTGGGTTCGAGCCCCGTGTCAGGCTCTGTGCTGACAGCTCGCAGCCTGGAGCCTGCTTCGGATTCTGTGTCTCCTTCTCTCTCTGCCCCTCCCCTGCTCACACTCTGTCTCTGTCTCTCAAAAATAAATACATGTAAAAAAAAAATTTAAAAAAAAAAGCCAGAAGCCCAGGGCACACCCCATCCCAGGCCCCTGCAAGTTGGGGTCTCTGTTATCCTGGACAACAACAATGCTTCTCATGATCCATGTCTGTCTGTCTCTGGAACACCTCTGGATTTTGACACCACGGGTTTATTTAGCTCCAGTCTGCCCTGTATGGGCCACACAGATCTCTCCCAACACCCCACTGTTCACACTCACAGGCAGGCCAATCTCAGGGTCCATGAGACCTGGGTCTATCGGCACCGCCCAAGAACTCTTGCTATTCAGTAGCATTGCTCAACCTTCAACCCATGGGCAGCCAAAATGTTTCGAATATTTTGGCTGCCCAGAGGATATCTGTGGTTTTTCAGATTTTTTTTTTCCTTTTTTATCTTTTGACTCCCTTTACCCACTTCTCCACCCTCCTCCCTGGTTGCCTCCCCTGGCAATCAGGCGGTTTTTTTTTTTTTTTTTTTTTTTTTTGGTGTGTGTTTCTTTTGTTGTTTTTTTGTTTTGTTTTTGGTTCTGCATATAAGAGAGACCATGCAGTACTTGCCTTTCTCTCTCTGACTTATTCCACTTTGCACAACGCCCTCGA